CCAGCCTTCACTCCGATAATCACACATGACATAATCCAGCAACCTTAAAGGAGACAATGTCAGACATACAGAAATCCTTCACCGTAAAGGGCTTGAACAGTTCTGTGAGAAAACAAAACTAAGCACTTTTCTTAAGTATTGAAACGTAAGAAAATGTTATTGAGATAATTGGTCCTTTCACATTTATCCACAGGTGAGGTTTCCTAAGACTTTGAGAAAACTTGTGCCAGCAGAAGGTAATTGAAAGAAAAACAAATTACAGAAATGGAGTTGAGTCATAGTAGAACTATGGAAATGATAAATCCTCCAATACAGATTCCTATTTCTATAGTGGATAGGACTTACTTCAAAGCTTTGGTATAATCCTTTGCATAATATTCTTCTCCCATTTGAACCACTAGAAGGCAAGAAAAAGATTTTATGTACAAATTCTGAAGTTATTGGCAGTTGTATGGAATTGTGGCATGTTATGAATACATACTCAGATGGCTTTTCATTCTTGGACACTTATACTTCTTAAACTGTGCAACAGCATTACTCAGAAGAGTTATTATTATTTCCTATTAGAAAAGATAAAAGTGTTAAATATTCTCATAATTATCATTTTTTTAAAAATTACGTTTCCGTAGGGGAAAAAACTTACAGAATGAACAACATTTCTCTCCTTTAGCTGAATGGCAAGAACTCCGACTTTCTCTTTTTCAGGGTCAGAGAGATCAAAACCTGTATACAAGACACAACCCATCTTAAGATAGCTCACTGAACATAAGTCCTTCACATCAACATTGTACGTGCACACTCCTTGACTCCTTTACTTTAATGTATTTAAGATTATTGAACATTCTAGAATCTTAAAAGGTTCTAAGAGACAGCTTTATTAAATGGAAGCTTCTCTGAGAGTCCTATTGTGAAGACATTATTAGCTAGTTTTTCAGGGTTTTTTTTTACCCAGTGAATCAACCACCCAAAGATGAAGATAGTATGATTCTCTATGGCATACATTGCCTGGAGAATACATAATCTAGTAACCCTTTAGGTCCAACTGCCATACTCCACAAACCCACTGCCCTCAAGTGACTCTGACTGATGACGGCCCCATCAGCAGCGCAGAACTGCTC